CTCAACACTACATAAACAAAAAAGAAAAAAACCAGAAGTGGCGCTGTGGCTCAAGTGGTAGAGTACTAGCCTTAAGCTGAAGAGCTGAGGGACAGCACCCAGACCCAGAGTTCAGGCCCCACTACTGGACCCCCCCAAAACAAACAAACAAGAAAAAACAAACAAAACTATTACAGTGTGACTAAACTTCCAACTGTTAACAATATCAATAACCTGACTCCTGGAATGCCTGATACGTGAACCCCTCCTCCAACCTCTAACCTCTCTCTGTATATTCCATTACTTTGGCATTATAGTAGCCATATTTTTGGACTTTAACAATAATTGTATTGTCCAAATGTTCATGTTTAAACATCATTACATACACTTAAATATACAGTCTTTCATTTTAAAATTTGATGTCTTATGAATCATCCTTGGTATGTAGACTGCTTCTCTTTCCTTGCTTCTCTTCCCTTTCCTTTCCTTTTATCTGTTGAAGAACTTAAGCATTTGACCTGTAAAATTTCCCCTCAGTCTTGATATGCCTAATTGTATTTTCCTTCATTCTTGGCATTTCCTCAAATTGGAACCTGCATTCAGATATGGGATCAGATTCAGGTTGAGTTCTTTGGCCAGGATTGTAGGAGGCTTATAATGTCTTCCTAGCTTCTTTGAAGATCTCTGACTTTGATACTTACTGTCCCTGGCTAGTAACTTATTGGATTACAACATGTTGATATCTTTTTTTTTTTTTTTTTTTGCATTAGTCAATTGGAATATATTTATAGGGACTCTTGCCCTCAGGTGCTATTTGTTTATTTAGAATATATCCATACACAGGCATCATGTATATATAAACACATAATATATTTGTAATATATTTATATTATACACATGCACGTATGTACATACACTTATCAATTATGTTTTCTTTTTCACTTTTGCAGTGCTGCAGATCATTCATGAAGCTTCATGAGTTCTAGATAAGCACTCTACCACTCAGCTGTATCTCCTAGTCAGTCCATGATATAGCTGCAGTTTTGAAAACCTGCTTTCTTAATCAGTTTTCTTTTGTTTAAACTCCTTGTGCCAATACTGACATTTTGTGTTTTCCCTCTCCCCACCCACCTGAAATTCCATCTTTCATTTGGCAGAGAACCAGAATTTATGTTTTTCTGGGTAGTTCACCAATTTTTTCATTGTTCTGCCTGTCTTGTGGAATCTACAGTGTATACATTTTGAAAATCTGTATTTATGAAGAGCAGTTTTCTAACTTGTAAGTTACTGTGAATAAAAAAAATCCCTTTTAATTTTCAGATATTTGAAAATTCTCAATATAAAGCCTGGTATAAATTAAATATTGTTATTACCCTAAAACACTGCTCTAAGTCTAACCTTGTTTCTCATGCTTCTGTCAAAATTTTACCAGAAACATAAAAACCCCAGTATGTAGGAAATGAATAGAATCCTAGAGCAGTGATTTCATCTTTTGTAATTTATTTTTTCCTGAGAATCATTATTATTTTCCAATAATGATGAAAAATAAAAATAAATGGAGAAATCTTCACCTTGTTTTGTTTTTTTTTTGGTTAGTCATGGGACAGTACCCAGGGCCTGGGTACTGTCCCTGAGCCTCTTTGTGCTCAAAGATAGCCCTTTTCCATTTGAGTCATAGCACCACTGCCAGTTTTTGAGTGGTTAATTGGAGATAAAGTCTCAGTGGGACATTTCTGCCTGGGCTGGCTTTGAACCAAGAGCCCCAGATCTCAGCCTCCTGAGGATTGCAAACATGAGCGCCCCACCCTCTTCACTTCTTTCATAACCGGATTTAGTTACTTACCATTCATGGTAGAATAAAAGAAGCTAAATTTTTTTTAATTCTTCTTCTTCTTAAGAAGCTAAAGATTTTTTAATTCTTCTTCTTCCTTCTTTTTCTTCCTCCTCCTCCGTCGGTTGTAGCCTGGATTCTGGGCCTGGGCATTGTGCCTCAGCTCTTCAGCTAAAGGCTGTGCTCTACCACTTGAGCTACAGTGCCACTTCTGGATTTTTCTGCTTATGTGGTGCTGAGGAATCAAACCCAGGGCCTCGTGCATGTAAGGCAAGCACTCTACCACTGAACCACTTCCCAGCCCCCTAATTCTTCTTTCTTATTCCTCCTCCTCTTTTTCTTCTTTCTCCTCCTCCTCTCCCTTCCCTCATGCCTCCTCCTTCTCTCCCCCCACCTCCTCTTGCCATAATGGTTAACAAAAGACACAGAATTCGTTGAGCACTGGTGACTCGCACTTGTAATCCTAGCTGAGCTCTGAGGATTGCAGTTAGCAGCCAGCCCAGGCAGCAAAGTCTGTGAGACTCTCATTTCCAAAAAACTACTTAAAAAAAAAAAGCTGGAAGTGGGGCTGTGGCTCAATTGGTAGTACATTAGCCTTGAGCAAAAGAAGCTCAGGGACATCATCAGACCCTGAGTTCAAGCCCCACTACCAGCACCAAAAACAAAACCCAAAACAAAGACAGATGCAGAATTAGCCAGATGCCTGTGGCTCAGGTCTGTATTCCAAACTTCTCAGGAGGCTGAGAACTGACGAACATGGTTTGAAGCCAGCTCAGTCAGGAAAGTCCATGAAGTAAATAAATACCAGAAAAAGTTAAAGTAGAGTTGTGGTTCAAATGGTAATGCACAGTGCACAGCCAGCCTTGAACAAAAATGCTCAGGGACAGCACCCAGGCCCTGAGTGCAAGCCCTAGTACCTGTGTGGATGTGTATGTGGTATGTGTGTGTGTGTGTGTGTGCGCGCGCGTGCACGCGTGCACGCACACACAAACATAAACACAGATGAAGAGTTAACAGAAGACTATCAAGAGGCTACTGGCAAATAAAATCTAGCCTCCAGTTCTAAATCACATAGCCAACTTCTGAGCAAGTACTCAGTTCATTGAAACATGTTCCATCATTTTACAATTAACAAATTGTCTTTTTCCTTTATTTATATACTTTACCATAGAATTATGGGAGCCAGGAGTCTAGGATGCTCCTTTCCTGGTTTTCTGTAATTATATATAAAGGCTAGTCTAGAGATACTTCCAAATACATAATGATAAAAAAAAAGAAAGTTAGGGGGCTGGGGGTTTAGACCAGCGGAAGGGCGCCTGCCCGGCGCGTGCAAGGCCCTGGGTTTGGTCCTCAGCCCTGGAAAAAAAAAGGAAAAAAAAAGTGCATTGAAACATTTGTAGTTTTTCAGCACATCACTGTTTCTCCTTTGTGTTAGAATGGGACAAAGAATATTTGATGTGACCATTTTCCTAGATAATTTTGCAGTATGGAGTAAATTTTCTCAAATTAGAATCTATAAGAAATGTGGTCCAGGTCATTAGGCTCCTGTTAATCAGAAGTTTGCTTTATAATAATAATATATTTATGATGTTGTCATTTCTATTCCTCTTCATCTCTTTGTGTGGGTATTGTGATTACTTGATTACATCTACTTGGCATAGTGGGTTTTAAAACAGCATTTATAATTCTTCTGGCCTAGTAGGCAAAATGAGAATATGGAAAGACAATTGGTGGTTGAAGCATGATAGTTTCCTTTTGCCTTCATGTAGTATTTAGTGAGTTGCAGACTTGGAATAAGAGAATTGAGTATCATTTTGTTCTGGTCTGGAAAATGATTATTTTATCCCACTGGAAACAGATTAAATTGAGGTGTAGGTATCTCATTATCTTTCATATAGAATCACTACACTTTTCATAGGCTTTATATTTTTTGTGGTTTCCAGGTTTATTTTTTCATGAAAATAAGGGTCTGTTAAAGCTAGATACAAACATTACATGGAAAGTTCTTTGAGAGCATCTATTATGTCAAAAAGGTTTCTTACTTAGAATCCTGCCATTCATAACACTGGTCATTGTAAATATTTGGGTTCCTATATTATGTATTAGAGGTGTGTGGACTTTGCTGTCTGATTATTCTACTGTTGCCTTTTTATCAGAACTTTTTGCTATTACATAATACCTAACAGTTATGACACTCATTTTGGACCTTGCTTTGGAGCTATATGCTATTATTGATGGAGGTCAGGATATGGTACCCCAAAATGACACCTTGGCATGTTTTATATATATATATATATATATATATATATATATATATTATATGGATATTTACATATATGTATATTTTAAAACAGTCTTGGGGCTTGAACTCTGGGCTTGGGTATACTTCCCCTAGTCATTTTTTGTTTGAGGCTTATGTTCTACTACTTGAGCCACAGCTTCACTCCTGTCCTTTTGGCAATTAACTGGAGATAAGAGTCTCAGACTTTTCTGCCTGGGCTGTCTTTGAACTGCGATCCTCAAATCTGAGCCTCCTGAGTAGCAAGGATTACAGATGTAAGCCACCAGCGCCTGACTAGCATACTTATTCTTGACATAGCTTTTATAGTCACAGAATAAAAACATTCTGTAATTTCTTTAAGTTGCCTGAGATCTGTTCATATTCCCTTGACTTTGTTGATATCTGGTAATTTCCACTCATATTATCTCCCACATTTAGCTCAAAGCCTAGCACACAGTTGGCTTTCAGAAGTGCAGTTATTTGTGTTTTACTAGGCACTGTGTTGCAACACATTGAGAATATAGAGATTTACAAGGTAATTTAAAGAGGCACTTACTATTCACATTGGGCAGCAAGGTAGTATATATAAATATCACAGAAGTTGGTTTCAAAATTACACTATCAATATCAATCAAGAGTTTTTCATCAATTTTAGCTTTCTATGTGATTTGGCTTTGTTTTCACATATCCATGGACATGTACTATATGCTATATAATATTAAATATTTTAATGTTTTGGCTCAGATACTTTAAGGTAGTTTTTGTTGTAGCAATATAGTAATTATAAATTTGTAGTCACAGATATATAATTATACACACATGTATGGGGTTTCCTTTTTATAAAATCATAACTTCATATCATGCTGTGTAATGTTTTTGTTATAAATTTCAACTTGTTTTTCTCCACAGGCAGCAGAAGATGTCATTTTCATTGGGCCTGATACACGTGCTATTCAAGCCATGGGTGACAAGATTGAAAGCAAATTATTAGCCAAGCAAGCAAAGGTTAACACAATTCCTGGCTTTGATGGTGTAGTCAAGGTGAGAAACTATTTTGCTCAAATCTTTATAGTATGTCCTCAGATCAAACATTCTGTGAGAGAATATGGGTAAAATATATGGTTTTGAGTATATATGAGGGAAAAAAGTAGTGGCATTTAACTTGGATTATTTTTAGTGGTATGAGCTGAAAAGAATGAGAATCTAGTTAAGCACTTGTGTGTAATGAATCAGCATTGACTCACGTGGGAATAAACTTGGTAATTAAAAAATGTGTTGTCAGATATCGGATTACATTTAATGATGAAATGATGTTCTATATATTTTTACCTTGAACTTCTTTCCATATACATCAGATATAAATAGTCATTCTGTACATAAACAGCTATGAATAACTAGAATCGCCAACATTTATCATGGGCTTTTGCAGCTGAAAAATTCTGAGGATGTCCAGCAATTGGAGTATATATAGCTTGCTTTCCTCCACAGGAGGAAAGTTCTTTTTTCGTGAGAAGTGACTTTCTCTGTAGTGTTTTAACCTTGTGATTTGAGTAAGTTTGCAAGAACTTTTCATCTTAGTGTTTATTTTTCATTCCCCTAGCATATCCTATTGGACAGTTTTTCAAAATTGCACAGAACCATTACAAAATAGCTACAAAGATTGGTCTCTGCTTCATGAATAGCCTCAGCTATTCATGCCTGTACTTACCTGTGCACTCCTCTCTCTGTTCATACACACACCACTCACCAAACAACCTGAGATTGAAAATGTTTGGAAGAAATGTGCTTGTTGTTAACAACAAAAAAAGATTTTCTTTTTTGTCGTTAGTCCCTAATGCTGTCTATATAACATTAACATTAACTTACATTAACATTGTAAATCACTAAAAGGGACTTAATGTATATGGAAGTGTATGTATTTATATATATCTAGTATATATCTCTATTTATCAATATTTATCTATCTATATATGTACTATACCATACTTTTTTTATATGAGACTTGAGCATCTTCAGATTTTAATATTGCTGTTGGTGTGTGTGTGTGTGTGTGTGTGTGTGTGTGTGTGTGTGTGTGTGTGTGTGTGTGAGTAGTACATGTGGAACTGGTGCTTCTCTCTGGTTACTGAAGAAGAATGATGATATTTATCTCAGTCTATTTTCATCTATTTTGTCTCTTGTTACAATGAAGGGGTGTTCTACATCTGTAATTCTTCCTCTTATACTCCAGTTGTGTTTGTCTAAACCTTGGCGGAGTACAGGTTTTACTGATTTTCTTTTCTCTGTTCTATATGAAAATTCATAGCTTTTGCCTCCTTTCGTTTCCATTGCTATTAAAAATACTGAACCAATAGATATGGTCACTTGGCTAAAGTGGAAGGAGGTATGATAAACAAGACTCATATGATGAGGGGAAAGGACATTTATGATTCTCATATAGCAGATAATCCTCCACTGCTCTAGAGCTACTACCTTTTCTGTTCCTTTTTTTAGCTGAACATCTTGGAAAACTTGACCCCACTTGCTTTTTTGTTTATATCTTTTACCTTCACTTAATCTGTAATCTACTGCAACCTTGATTCTTACTCATTCTCACTGCATTTCTCTTGCAAAGCTCTTCAGCCCAAGCTGGCTTTGAACATGCAAACCTCCTGCTTCTGTCTACCAAGCCCTATGATTACAGGGATTACCACCATGCCCAGCATACATTCAACATTTTTTTTCCTGGTACCAGGCCTTGAACTCAGTACCTAGCACTCTTGCTTTGCCTTTTCCACTCATGGCTGGCTTTATACCACTTGAGCCATACAGTCAGTTCAGATTTTTGCTGGTCAATTGGAGGTGGAATCTTGAAGACTTTACTAGGTGGGCTGGCTGTGAACTTTGATTCTCAGATGTCAGCCTCTTGAATAGCTAGGATTACAGGTGTGAGTCATTGGTCCTGCACTTGAACAGACATCTTTCAAATGAAGAAATACACATAGCTAATAGATACATCAAAAAGTATTAAATATATTTCGCCATCAGGGAAATGTATATCAAAATGACCTTGAGATTCCATCTTCTCTCAGTCAGTATGGCTGTCATCAAGAAAACAGTAACTACGTGTTGCTGAGGATGTGGGAATGGGGCACAGGAAACCCTTATGTACTGGTGATAGGAATATAAATTAGTACAGCCACTGTGGAGATCAGTATAGAGGTTTCTTACCAAACTGAAAATGGAAAGACCTGTGGTCTAGATATGTATCCAAAGGGAACAAAATCACCATATAATAGTGATGTTTATTATGACACTATTCATGATAACCAAGCTGTGGAATAAGCCTAGAAGCCTAGCAATGAATGAATGGATAAAGAAAATGTGTTATATATACACAGTAGAATGTTATTTTAATACTATGATATGTTTTTTCTTATATATGCAATTAATATATTGACTAGTATGCAATTAATATATTAGTAAATTTTCTTTCCTTCTACCTTTCCTTCTCTTATTTAGTTATTTTAAATTATTATTTTTAAATATTATTGTTTTATTAGTTTTGAAATAAATTCTCACTGTTGCTTGGTTTGGTGTGCCTATTACTCATTGTGCCTTTCATTTTTTTTTTAAAGTAATCTCTTCATTAGAGAGAGAAACTAATGTTTGCAAAATGTAATTTTTGAGTAATCACTTGACACCAGATATTTGCCTTTACCGAGTTTAGTTTTATTAACTTGATTTTGGGACAGTTAGAGCAGAGGATTAAGAGTATAGATGTGGAAAGCAGGAATTAGGATCCCCGCTTATTTGTTTAGCTGAGTTATAAGCCGCAAACCCTGATTTCAAAGAGCTTTAAGTTCTTTTATGGAGACTTTCAATGTATTCAGACAGTTTAATGCATTTGAGTAATACTGAGTTCAGAGTGCATGAGGCTGTAGATTTGGAGCTGATATTGAATTTTAGGGTATCATGGCAGAGTTCCCAGGGAAAGTGATAGCTAAGAGATACTTGAGGTATGAGAAGTAATGAGTGAACTATAAAATGAGCCTCATGGGGGACACAGCTCTGTTGTCAGTGAAAACATTGCAAAACCTTGGTAGCTCCAGATGTGCAGTGTGAAGGAGTTAGAGAGGAAGCTTAGGTTATCGATAATGATGGCATGAATGCTGTGCAGCTGATATTGGATGCTTGTGGCTTTGGGAGCCTGCTAATAGTTTCATGCAGACGGATTAACATGAGACAATTGTGGGATTAGAAAAATTGTTTTGTTTGCTATTTAGAAAATGGATCAGCAGAGAGTTAAACTTGTATAGGTATTCAAATTAGAACCCTCTTTCTTTAGTTTAGGCAAGCAATGATAGAGACCTAAATTAAATGCTGGAATACAGCAAAGTAGATGTTGTTGAGGAAGATGTTACAAGGTTGGGTTGTCTGTTGGATATGGGATCTGTTTGTTATCAGGAAACAGTGGGAGAGATTATCAATAATTGCACTTCTACCCTTGGTTCCAACACTTAGCAACACACCATTTTTTTTAGGGAAGTTCATTTAATACTTAAAAAAATTTATTGGCGCTGGGCGCCGGTGGCTCATGCTTGTAATCCTAGCTACTCAGGAGGCTGAGATCTGAGAATCGCAGTTCAAAGCCAGCCTGGGCAGGAACATCTGTGAGACTCTTATCTCCAGTAAGCCACTCGAAAGTTGGAAGTGGCACTGTGGCTTAAGCGGTAGAGCGCTCGCCTTGAGCTGAAGAGCACAGGGATAGTGCCCAGATCCAGAGTTCAAGCCCCACGACCAAAAAAAAAAAAAAAAAAAAAAAAAAAATATATATATATATATATGTATATATATTGTCAAGGTGATGATGTACAGAGGGGTTATAGTTGCATAAGTAAGGTAGTAACTATATTTCTTATTGAACCTGTTAACTCCTCCCTCATTTTTCTCCCCCCTCCCTCGTCAAGTGGTACAGTTCATTTCCAACATATTATGTTGTGAATATCACTGTTGCATTGGTTTCCCCTTTGTCCTTTGTCTCACCATTCTGTTGTGCCCCTTCCCTTCCCTAATTCAGATAAATGTATATACAATACCGGGGCTATCAAAATCAAATAAAGTGACAACAAAGGATAAACCATACAGGAAAAAAAAAACAAAAGAAAAAAGAAATCACATAGTACACTAAAAACAACAATAAAGAAAAACCTCTTGTGTCCATGTCCTAGAGTTCATTCATTTAATACTTTAAAAAAAAGAATTTTTAAAAAAACTTTTAAAAATTATCTTTAGCTGGGCGCTGGTGCCTCCCACCTGTAGTCCTAGCTACTAAGGAGCTGAGATCTGAGGATCGCGGGTCAAAGCCAGCCTTTCAGTAAAGTTCACTAGACTCTTAACCAATTATCCACCAGAAAACTGGAAGTGGTGCTCTGGCTCAAAGTGTTAGAGTGCTAGCCTTGAGCAAAAGAGCTCAAGGACAGTGCCCAGACCTTGAGTTCAAGTCCTATGGCCTACAAAAAAAAAAAAAAAAGAAAAAAAGAAAGAAAGAAAAAAGAAAATAGAATATTAAACACCGCTATATTTTCCCTGCTAAGCTGAGAATAATGGATTAAATTTTATTAGCATACATTTCATTGTGTCATATTCATATGTGCTTATAGTGTACTCACAAAATTCAGTGTTCTATTTTTTCTTGTTTCTCCTTCACCCTTTCAAACAAGTTTTACAAGGTTTCATTATTTTCTTCTCATAGATGCATATAAAATACTTCAATTGTATTCACTCTCCTGCCTTTACCTTCTCTTTTGGCCCTACAGACCCTTCTGGTTTCTATAATAGTGCTTTTTATATTCGTCCGTCCGTCCGTCCGTCCGTCTACCTACCTACCTACCTACCTACCTACCTACCTACCTACCTACCTACCTACCTACCTAGGTGCTGGTCTAGGGGCTTGAAATCAGGGCTTAGGTGTTGTCTCTGAGTTTTTTTTCTCAAGGCTAGCACTCTTACTACTGAGCCACAACTCTACTTCTGGCTTTTTTGGTAGCTAATTTGAGATG